AGTTGTGGGCTTTGAGAAAGATGCAGAAATTATAATGAAGAAATTGATACGAGGAACTAAGGAGCGGGATCTTATCTCCATCTTTGGAATGCCCGGACTCGGTAAAACAACTTTGACAAGAAAGGTGTACAACAATCCCTATATTGTTGATCACTTTGATGTTAAAGCATGGTGTGCTGTGTCACAAGCATATAATAGAAGGACGTTATTGGTTGAGATTTTCAAACAAGCTACAAATGATAAGATCAAAATCAAAGAGGACGATGATGTAGCTGACATGTTGCGCAAGGTTCTAATAGGCAAGAGATACCTTATCGTATTAGATGACATTTGGGATGTCAAGGCATGGGAAGATTTGGGAATATGTTTCCCTCAAGGTGAATGTGGAAGCAGAGTAATGGTCACAACACGAATTGAAGAAGTGACTAAGCATCTTCCGCACCACAGTGATCCTTATTCTCTTAGCTTTCTAACGTCCGAAGAGAGTTGGGAATTATTGGAGAAGAAGGTATTTCGAGGAGAGAGTTGTCCCCCGGATCTACTGGAAGCAGGGTTACAAGTTGCCCTACACTGTAAGGGATTGCCTCTTGTGGTTGTCTTGATTGCTGGAATTATAGCAAAAAGGGAAAGGGAGGCGTCCTTGTGGCTCGAGGGTGCAGAAGACTTGAGTTCCCTTGCTTTAGGAGAGCAGAGTATGAAGGTGATACAATCAAGTTATGACCATTTAGAAGATCACTTAAAGCCTTGCCTTCTTTACATGGCATTGTTTCCAGAAGACCATAAGATCCCAGTGGACCATCTGCTGAAGTTGTGGATGGCTGAAGAGTTTGTATTGAATGCCGGAACAGAGAACATGGAGAAAGCATGTCGAGTCTGCATGACTGATTTGCTTAACAGAAGCCTAATAATGGTCTCCGGAATGAGATTTTATCGTGATGTACAATACTGCTCACTTCATGATGTAGTGCGTGAGTTCTGCTTGAGAAAACTCACAGAAGACAAGTATATGCAGCTCGCAGTGCCATTCAATCCGTATCAACATTTGCATTCCACGGAATCACGATTGTGCATTTATATTCATGATGATCTTGTTAAACAATTAGATCATTCCAACTACCAGCTGGATAAGATTCCAATGCTCGATTTCAAGGAAACAAATTCTTTGGAGTTCATTGCTCATCCAAAACTCAATACGTGGAATAACCAATATTCAAATCCTTTCGATTTACTTGTTAAATTAAGATTTGTTCGGGCATTGGATTTGATGGATGTGGAATTATCAGATTCATGGGCTACTGCAATTCAATCGCTAACTGAGTTAAGATACCTTGCACTTTGTGTCAAACAATTTGAATTGAAGTGGATATCACACATACACAATCTCCAAACTCTTCAGGTCAAGTCAAGTGAGAAGTTACGCCTAAGGGCAGCTACTTTATCAGAAATGACGAGCCTAAGGCATGTGAAAATAGACTGTTTTTTCATGGTATGGGAAAACAATGAGCAAGAAAGTTCTTCAACCACTATGCTAGAGAACATGAAGAGTTTTGGCACTTGCGATATACGCTTGGATAATATGAATGCAAGGTTCTGGTGGAGGTTTCCGAATCTTGAAGAACTCGGCCTCAGCGTTAAAGATGTACCTGAGTTTCCTTTGTTTCCCATAGCGGAAGTTCATAGTCACCTTCATTTTCTTTCTCTGGAATTCTCTTTGATGGAATTATTTAATTCAGTTGGATGGGAGAGATATTTTGTGTTCCCTTCAAATCTTAGGCATTTGGACCTTGCCGGCTGTTTTTTGACGGAAGAAATGGTTTTAAACATTGCAAGATTGAAGAAGCTTGAGAGTCTCAAATTACTTGTGGGATTACCTTTTGGGAGATCAGAGAGCTATTGCTGGGATGTGACAGATGTGGAGTTTGCTGCACTCAAATACTTGGGATTATTCTTTATGCAGATAGAAGAATGGAAAGCTTCAGAGGAATCCTTTCCTGTGCTTGAGAAGCTAGTTATAAGTGGATGTTCCGATTTCAAGGAGATCCCCCCAAGCTTTGCAGATATTCCAACACTAAGACGTATTGAACTGACTAACTGCATCGACTCTTTAGGGGTTTCAGCTATGAATATCAGAAGAGAAATTGAAGAAAACACAGGATGTGACAGTCTCCAAGTTGTTATAGAAAAGTAAATTAATGTATTTAAAAGCACTTCATTGCTGCTCTATTTCCACTTCTTAATTCTACTTCTATATTGTCGCATTGTTATCTGTTTTTTAGGCATAATACATAAACATACCCTTTAACTTGATCTGAGCTGACAACTATGTCCTTCGACTTTGGTGCGCACAAGTAAACACGTATAAATTGAACAAGTAAACACACACGTTTTATGTGACATAATACATGTAGGACACAATTGATAGATAGACGAATGGAAAGCTTCAGAGGAATCCTTTCCGGTGCTTGAGAAGCTATCTATACAAGCTACTGAGGAGATCCCTTCTAGCTTTGCAGATATTCCAACACCCTGACTTATTGAACTGTCCAAATGCATCAATTCACTTGTGGTTTCAGCTATGAATATCAAAAGAGAGATAGAAGATAGTACAAAATCTTGTCACTCTAGTTTAATTTGTAATTAATTGAACAATATTGTCATCCGGTGACTCGAGAAATATTTGTACAAATTGCCTTAAATGAGTTTGTTTCTTCTTTCAGATGTATTATAAATACAAAAAATTAGGGGATATCGATTTTACTTATGCTATATAAGTTGGGATGAATGGATAACATATATTATTTTGGGACAAATGGATACCATAAAAGTATTATAAATTACATTAATTAATAATTTAAAATATTTTTAAAAAAATATTAGAATTTGGTTAACTCTCAAAATTTCACATGTGTCACATAAATTGAAATACGAAGAATAACATATATTATTTTGGGACAAATGGATACCATAAAAGTATTATAAATTACATTAATTAATAATTTAAAATATTTTTAAAAAAATATTAGAATTTGGTTAACTCTCAAAATTTAACATGTGTCACATAAATTGAAATACGAAGAATAACATATATTATTTGAAAATTACATTAAAATTACTATAAATCACTATAATTAACAACTTCAATGAAAATCATACAAAAATTTAGTTGAGTTTCTTAATTTTATATGGACAACATAAATTGAGGCAGGTGAAGTAATATATATTGGGTCCGTGCTTGCACGGGCTCTTTATGTCTAGTACTCCCTCCGTCCCATGTTAGATGTGCATCTTACTAAAAATATTTAACTCATATTACTTAATCACTTACTAAATCAAGATATAATTAATTAATTTTTTCTCATTTTACCCATACACTTTTTTAAATTGAATTTATACCACTAGACAGAGTATCTAACGACCTTTTATTAAAAGAAAAAAAAAACCTTACGGACAAGTATTAGCAAGGGGGGCTAGGACTCACCTTATCAATCCTAATGAAGTAACAAACTTCTACTAATTAACTAGTGTGAAGAAAATAAGAGCTAAAGAGAATTCTGTATTTTATGATCATCACAGAGTTTGTAATACTACACTCTATAATGCTATTACAAATGAGGATGCTTAGATAATGCAAAAATATAAAAATCAAGAAGAAAGTTGAGTTTTCAAACTCAAACTTTCTTTTACAAATGTATAAATTTAAAAATAGGTTGTCCGTCTAAAGTAACCTGAAGTATTGTACTTTTGTCTTCTTCTTCAAATATGTCCAAAAACAATTGATATCTTATCATTTCCTCTTGGATTTAATGGATCTTATTGAATCTATTGACACCATCATATGATTCTTCTTTGCCAGTCGCATCGATAAGTGTCTTGAAACAAACTCCCCAGTCATCGTACCATCCCAACTATGTTGTTTTCCATGTGTCTTCTTTTTACTAATGTTGCTTCCACTTTTTTGTTGCCTAGGTGAGATATCTCCATTCCTAACCATTTTATCAAAGTATATGTCTAACGTATTGTCTTCTTCTTCCTCTTTCTTATAAAAAAAATCATCGCCTATCAATAGCATACACATTAGTTGGACTAATATGGCCTTTGGAAGTTTAAACAAATTTTGAAGACCAAATAATTTTTTTTCAAGAGGCTAATTAATATGAACAAAGGGTAAAATAGTAAAGTTCATCAATCTATTTTTTTTTAGTTATCATGTAAAATAGGAAGTGACCATCTAATATGGGACAAAGAAGTACTCCCTTTGTCCACTTTTAATTCTCATGTTACGCTTTCGAAAGTCAATTTAACTAATTTTCAAAGTGAAATTAGATTACATTAATTCTATATTTTAAACAAAAAATTATATATTAAAAAACTATACGAAAAGTACTACAAATTGCAATTTTTTGCATATCAATATGATGAAAAAATACATCATAAAATGTTAGTCAAAGTACTGGACTCTAAAAAAGGAAACCATGACAATTAAAAGTGGACGGAGGTAGTATAAGAATAAAAGTAAAACAAGGAAAACATATTTTATTTTATGGCATAATAGATAAATAGGACCCTTAACTTGGCTGTAAATTTTAACTTTGACCTTAAACTTTCAAAGTGCACAAAGTGACACTTTAACTATCCAACTCTTAAATAAAAAAAAACACTCGAATATTGCAGCCCAAATGCTGAAATGCAGACGCTCCATCGTGGATTAGTGAGTCACTCAATGACTGTCAACTAATTAAAAAATTTACACCTTGATATTAGAATTAAAAAAAAAACTAAATTAATATTCAAATTAATACAAGGTTATTGGGTGAAAGACTCTTTCATTTTACTCCGTTTCTCTCTCGAAATCGCGAAACTCAAGCTAGGGATTTACAACCAAATCGTGAATCAAGGAAAAATTTGTGTTAAAAGTTCATGTTTATTTGTTCATCTTTCTCAATTTAGTCCAGGTATGTTTAATTTTTGGCATAATACATATATTGGACCTTAAACTTGGCTTCAAATTTTAACTTTGACCTCCAACTTTCAAAGTGCACAAATAGACACTTTAACTATCCAACCTTTTAATAAATAAACACGCGTGTCTTACCTGGCAAAACGCGTGACGTGCACGCATTTTGCGCGAGTGAGAAGTAATTTTTAGGCACACAACAGTGAAAAAAATGCTGAAATGACAACTTTACCCTTAATTAATTTTTTTTTTTATTAGATCTAAAATGGACGTGTAAAGTGTTTAATTAGTTGGCAGCCATTGAGTGGCTCACTAATACACGTGGCAGCGATTGGATTTCACGCTCTTGGCTCCAAAAATCGCATGTTTATTTATTAAAAGGTTGGATAGTTAAAGTGCTTGTTTGTGCACTATGAAAGTTGGAGGTCAAAGTTAAAATTTGAAGCCAAGTTTAAGGTCAAATATATGTATTATCCCTTAATTTTTTCCCTCTGAAAGTTTATTTTTGATAAAAGGTAGATTCTTTACTTAATTCTGGATTGTTTGCAGATCAACGACTTGGATTGTTTGCAGACCAAGAAATCTTTCATGATAGCTTTTTTTCCACAATGATAAAAAAAATTATAAGGTATTTGCATTGAAAACGAGTGCAAATCATGCTGAGGAGAGAAAAAAAGCTTGATTTGAAAGAAAAGGAAAAAATGGGATTTTGATTTGAAAATATAAAGATATATATAAAAGGAATTCATTAAAGGTATAATTGTCATTTCAATATATTCTTTAGTATTGTGAGCCTCGAAATTTAACCTGAGGCGATTGAGTGCACATCACGTGTTTTGTCAGGTGAAACTTGAGTTTTTTTATTTAAAAGTTGAATTGTTAAAGTGCCTCTTTGTGCATCCTAAAAATTAAGGTCAAAACTAAAATTTGAAATCAAATTAAGAATCTTTATTTATTTATGTTTTATGCCTTATTTTATTATAGTAGATAAGAAAGAGAAAAAGAAAAAGCAAACGGGGAAAAGATGAGAAGAAAAGAGACACTTTTAGTCAAAAAAGCAAAAATTATGGGGTCCCAATGTTTTAAAACTTTTTAAAAGTAAATTTAATTTATTTTATCACTTTTTTTTATTTATTTGTGAACACTCAATTATTATTTTAAGAAAAATCTTAAATCATTGTATTTATTTAGTTGCTGATATTTCCCACTACAAGTCGACAACTATTTGTCATTTTCTTAATTTCTATTACCATCAATTTAGGGCAACCCTTTGGAGCAATTGATCTCTGTTTGCCACAATCAACAACGGAAGGTGAAATTTTTTAATTTTTTTTCGCTCATAAAATTATGTAATTAATTCAAATATGTAACTAACTATTTCAAGTTGGTTTGTAATTAAGTTGGTTTTTCTTCCCTAAATTATGAAATAATATTGTTTTCATTTCTTTTATTAAAGGTGAAAAAAGCAATTAATTCAATCCATGGAAGTTGTTGAGACATGTGCACAAGGAACTCTTTCTTCTGGAGAGCCTTCAAACAAACCTAGTATTACATCAATCTATGATAATGATCAAGTTGTGGGCTTTGAGAAAGATGCAGAAATTATAATGATGAAATTGATACGAGGAACTAAGGAGCGGGATGTTATCTCCATCTATGGAATGCCTGGACTCGGTAAAACAACTTTGGCAAGAAAGGTATACAACAATCCCTATATTGTTAATCACTTTGATGTTAAAGCATGGTGTGCTGTGTCGCAAGCATATAATAGGAGGACGTTATTGGTTGACATTTTCGAACAAGCTACAAATGGTGATAGTGAAATCAAAGAGGATGATGATGTAGCTGACATGTTGCGCAGGGTTCTAATAGGGAAGAGATACCTCATCGTATTAGATGACATTTGGGATGTTGAGGCATGGGAAGATTTGGGAATATGTTTCCCTCAAGGTGAATGTGGAAGCAGAGTAATGGTTACAACACGAATTGAACAAGTGGCTAAGTATCTTCAGCACCATAGTGATCCTTATTCTCTTAGTTTTCTAACATTCGAACAGAGTTGGAAATTATTGGAGAAGAAGGTATTTCAAGGAGAGAGTTGTCCCCCGGATCTACTGGAAGCAGGGTTACAAGTTGCCCAACATTGCAAGGGATTGCCTCTTGTGGTTGTCCTGGTTGCTGGATTTATTGCAAAAATGAAAAGGGAAACGTCCTTGTGGCTCGAGGTTGCAAATAACTTAAGTTCTCTTGCTTTAGGGGAGCAGAGTATGAAGGTAATACAATCAAGTTATGACCATTTAGAAGACCATC